CTTCTTACTCACCAGGGGAACAAAACAAAAATCTATACTGTTTTGTTGAAATTGTTTTAGCAATGTGAACAAAAAATAGTGTCATGAGTCAGCAAACAAATTCATAGTTTGAGGATGCTGTGGCAGTTAACAGGCTTGGCTATTTATAAGAAGTGTGACACAACTGTTTATTTGCACCAACTATGCAAAAAAAGAGACAGAACTTAATAAACTACAGGCAAATCTGCTTTGTAGAAAAATGTACCACTTGACCTCAGAGCAGTAACAATTGTTAAACATTCTAACCAATCACTAATTTAATTAGTTCTAATAATCACCCAAGCTAAATTTCTTACTTATTTTTGTTGGAATGTCTTGGATCTGGGTCTAGGAGAGTGGGCCTAAATTTAGCTTTTGTAGCATTTCACTTTATGGAAATTCATCTATTTTAAAGATTAATTAATACCAAGCGACTCTTGGATCAATAAAGTAATTAGTGGCATACTTGTCCTTCATTAAATATACATTAATTGCACTAAAATATTATATTAGGCTGTTGTTTGAGTGTATGTGGCAGAGGAATCTTTTGCTGAGCTGAATAACCAGTGGGGATGTATTTTACTTCCCTAAGGGAAAAAAATACTCTAGAAGAAGCTGGATACTTTCGGTGAGTTACACACATTGCTATGTACAGTAGACACTTATTATATCCAGAATAATTGTCGTCACCTGTTCCTATCACACCCTACTGGGCTGTAGACAGTCTGCTAACTTGATACATGTCCTGATGGGAAGGTCCGGCTTGCTGAAATACTAAGTTTACCTCTAGACAAACACTGTGTCACAGTTCGGGGGTAATTGTCACATTGCAGCTTCTAATATCATTCAATGTATTGTTTTTTTTCTGCTTTATTCAACAGGTTTTTGGAGCTTAGTATTGGAGCCTAAGTCCAAGCCTGTTGACAATCTACTGTTTACAATTCTGATTCAAACTAATTTAAAAGTTGGATTGTTTAAGGTAATCCAAAACTCTAGATAGAGATGCCATAATGTGCAATTGTGTCTAGAGACATAATTCCTGTTCTTTGATGCAAACTGGATATTTTTTTTCTTATGATTTCCAATTAAGAAAAATAAAAACATTACTTAGATGGTTCTAACTGCAGGAACATAAGTAGCTTTACGTTAACAGTGCAAGTGCATGGGTTATCATGTGGCATCAATGTATGTCCTAATTGAGCTTTACTGTATGTGCAAACAGAAGATAACAGCCAGAGGAAACTGATCAAACAGAACAACACTTCTACTGCTGCTTCTGTTGTACAAACAATAAACATCTAGAAAAAAACAACCATTGCTGTAATCCCCCGAGTAATAGCTGAGGGGGGCTGCATTTGGTCTGCAATGACTGTGACACAACAAATGATATTGATTTAAAGCTAAGAAAACATTACTTCTTTGTACACAAAGAAAAACAGGAAAGAACAGAAGTGGAAGCAGATGGTGCATGTTTTAATTCATCCAGGATTTTGAAAGAGCCAATGCACTGCACTGGTAAGATACAAATCTGCAAAAAATGAATTATACAAAAATATCAGTCAGACAGGTACCACCCACCAATGCTTTCTTAAGCAAAGAGGTGTGTGTTAATAAACATATAGTTGCAACGGCTCGTTTCATCCTTTACATTAGTAGTTCTCAGCCATGCTCCTCAAATACCACTGTCCTCCACATGATCTATATTAAGGGATCATTTGAAGGTGTGCTGCAACTGAGAAACATCTAAAACATGCAAAGCAGTGGTACTTTAGGACCAGGATTGAGAAACAATGCTTTACATCAGGCATCCCCAAAGTTGGTCCTCTGTGATTGTGATTGTTGGATGCAGAATGGTAAGATATAAACAGGCATCCCCAAACTCGGTCCTAGAGGGCAGCTGTCCTGCATGATTTAGAGGTTTCCCTGCTTTAGCACAGCTGATTATAATGATAGCAGTAGAGCAAAAGTCTGTTAATCAGCTTTCAAGTAAAATCAGCTGTACTGGAGCAAGGAAACCTCTAAAACCTGCAGGACAGCTGCCCTCGAGGACCGAGTTTGGGAATGCCTGTTTATATCGTACCATTCTGCATCCAACAATCACATTCACAAAAACAATTAACCACCTTTTTGATGTAACACAAGGTGACATTTAAAACAGTTTTTTTTTAAACATGTATTTTACATTATTTCTATTCAAGACCTTTAATAAATAATTTGAATAAATTATTTCTGCCTTTAAAAAAGTTAATCAAAGCTAATATGTTAAAGGAGTTGGTTGGTTCTGTGTAAATGTAGGAAAAATTAAAACCACATTTTATTATACTGTGCAATTCATTTAAAATTCTCAATATGCTTCATACCTACTGAAGAAAATTAGCTCCTTTCAAAGAACAGATTGCAAATTGGTTTTGAAAAACAATTTATTTCATTTGAAAATTTATTTTTAGGCCTGAATAGCCCACTTTGTGAGGAATTTCCAGGTATTGTCGTGAAACATTTCCTGTATTGTCAGGGTGCAGTGGCTCATACTCTGTAATTTCTTCAGTCATTTGGATTCAGTGAATTATTTTCCTCTAAAGGATAAAAAAAAAAAAAT